AAATGAGTCTTTAAACCATAAAGAGTTGTGCATGGTGTGTTTCCAGCAGATTCATGTGCAATTCCCACATGGTTGGTTCCTGTACATTTGTCACATTTCATTTGCTTTCCCTGTGTGAGTGTGCATGCCTCCTGGAAGGCTGGTCTCTTAAACATACTTTTAATCTTATCAACAGGAAAATAGTGACTTCTTTATCAAACAGCAAGACATTTGTAGAAAGCTTTTCAGCTTTCTTGTGCTGTATGAATAAGGACTCTTTGAATTGCTGCTAATATTACTCAAGTGAAGAGAAAAAATAGCCAAGGAAGCAAGAGACTTCCAACATGCAAATATAGGAACCTGCTCTTAATACCATGCTTTCTGACTTGTTTGTTTTATAAATAAATTGGACAGTATGCTGGGCTCAGCTGAACAGGCTTGGACCTGATGCAAAACCCCTGGGAGGAATCCGTGTTGGAGGGATTCCAAAGAACTTCAAAGGGCTTCCTATGTCCTCTCCTGGGTTTTGCTTTGGCTATAGGAAACAGCTCCCTCAACCAGGAGCCATGTGTCCTTCACTGTTGGTATCACAGAACTTACTGGTGTGCACAGCCTTATGGCCTGATACGTGTGCTTCCTGCCCTAAGTGTCTGCATGGGCTGTATGGGCCTGGACTTTACCCCAGTCTGGAGTCAGGATGTTGAGAGCAGCCCTTCAAAAAGAGAGCTGCTCTTGGTCCTTCAGATCAAGCAAGCTTAGCTCAGTTAGGATCTCAGGGGAGCATGGCACACTTCTTAATTTTTGGCGGCATCATAGATTCATGGAATCACAGGATGGTTTGGGTTGGAAGGGACCTCAAAGACCATGTAGTTCCAACCCCCCTGCCATCACAGGGACACCTCCCACTAGAACAGATTGCTCAAGGCTCCATCCAACCTGGTCTTGAACACTTCCAGGGATGGAGCATCCACAGCTTCCTTAGGCAACCTGTTCCAGTGCCTCACCACCCTCAGGGTGAAGAACTTCTTTCTTATATCTAGTCTAAACCTGCCCTCACCCAGCTTCCAACCATTACCCCTCGTCCTATCACTGCAGGCCCTTGTAAAAAAATCCCTCCCCTGCCTTCTTGTAGGCCCCCTTCAGGTACTGGAAGGCTGCTATAAGGTCTCCCTGGAGCCTTCTCTTTTCCAGGCTGAACAAGGCCAACTCTTTCAGCCTGTCCTCGTAGGAAAGGTGTTCCAACCCTCTGACCATCTTGGTAGCCCTCCTCTGGACTCGTTCCAACAGCGAGTACGATTAGGACCAATTTCAGACACATTCCTTTTCTGGGAGAACCTGTATAGTGAGATGTGGATTGCATGTGATAACCTTGTTCCAGTTTGCTCTCCATCAGCTCTTGCTCTAGATGTTCTCAAAAAGGCTCCTAGAGAACGTTGTTAATTTGTGATTTTAGATGGTCTAGAAGCTTTGTAATGTTGTTTAAGCACATGCTTACATTTTCTAATAACAAATTAACTTGGTGGTGTAGTAACAATGTGTGTACTTTTCTGAGTTTTTGTTATCCTACGTGACTGGTGAAACATTTAAGAAGGCATCAGAATTACAGTGCTAGTAAGGTCTACCTTAGAGTTTAGTCATTACAGAATAGCTCAAACTTCTAAACCACACATACTGTGGTAAGAACTTGTAGGTAACAAATGCCATAAAATAACATTTTCCCCTTTTATATAAATAAATATATATATATAAAAAAATACGGACAGCTGTAACCATTGATAAAACATCAAAGTACTAGGAGCAGCATTACCTTTTGAGTTTATTTTCAGAAATCTCTTTGAGACATACTCTGTTATTTACTAGGGCTTTATACAGGTTTTATAAAAAAAAATCTCAGTAGTGTCCAAACATTTTTTCCTCATGCTTGGAAATCTTAATCTCATGACATCAATTGTGAAAGTCACAAAGCAAGAGTACGTGTGACCTGACAAGTGACCTCAGCTCTCCTGAGGTAGTCTGGTCAGGAGAACTCTTCCCATCTGCATTTCCTAATGCAGTAGGGCCGTGACAAGTGTAAAGGATACGTGTTACTGAAATGAAAAATTAATGTTAAATATTAATTATATGATTATTTATGATTATGTGATTATATATGCGATATTTATGTCAACCCATGTCAGACCTGCTATTAATGAGCCTTGAGGAATCATGCTCACTCTTAAAGATGTTTGATTAAGGAGTGGGGTCTAAAAGGGCCAAAACTTGGCAGTTCCAAGCTGCTGCTTTCAGTGGGCTGCTGTGGAAGAAGAGACTGAGATGGATGTGGCAGATATTCCAAAAGACTCCAAAATGTCCATGTGGTGAAGTGGAAATGAACATATTGCAGCGACAATCAGATGACTAGCACCGTGGGTTTTGGGGTGGGGCCCATCTCTGCTTCTTTCAGTGAAGAAGCGCTGCCAGATCTAGTCTGGCTTTATAGTCCTTTGCATTTACAGCCAGTGAGGCACGGATTTATTTGCTTTTATTTGGAAGACAGTCTAGAAATTAAGACTGGTTTTAAAAGATATAATATAGCTCAAAACCAAAAATGTTCTTTTGTGTACCAAAGCAAGATCAACAATTTTTAATTGACATTGTACTGGCTAAATCTTCAGCGAAATGAAATTGTACTGAACACAGTTAATCCTTTTTCTTGAAAAAAATCAACAGTGGCTTTTAAAGTTGCACTATAAATCGTTTTAAATACTTAATCATGTAAGTTAGTTTTTGAATTAAATCTGTTTAGTCAAAATGCTAAGGGGCTCAATTAAGTAGATCCAACACAGAGGCTACTGTAAGTGATTCAGATGGGTATTCTGGAACACATGCAGGGCATTCAACATTCACTGTACTTGTTTAAGCAGCTGACGTAGTAGAAACTAAAACTGATGAGTTTTGCTCTTTGCTTTCTCGAGACTAGTTTCAACTAGGATTAAAACACTGGAAATGGAAAATGAAATTTTCCAGTTCCTCAAGAAGTTCAGTCAGCTGGACCTGACAACACCACCAGGAAGAAAAACAGACACTTGATTAAGATGCAAGATGCAACTGCATCACTCGCAGATCAAATGTGCGCTGTCCCTTGCCTCCCTCCCACCAACATTTTTACCTATCCCCCCCGGCATTTAAAATATCTTGAAAGGTTGAAAGACTGCTCTACCTTCTGGAAAACTGAGAAAACATGTTGAGAGTTAATTTGGTTCATTTCCTGCTCTACCTTCTGGAAAACTGAGAAAACATTATGTTGAGAGTTAATTTGGTTCATTTAATATTTCCTGTTCAGCATTTGTCTTCTATTGCTTTTTTTATCACTAGGGATATTTGCATGACAATAGTATCTTTCTTGCTTAAGAGATCATCTGCTCCTGCTGCTAATTTCCTACCTGAAGTTGTAATCTTCCGTTTGTGACATCTTAATTATCTCAAGCACAATTACTTGTGATGTCACAAATGGAGGATTTTCACTTTGGGTTGGAAATGAGATTGAGAAATTGAAGGAGTCTGAAGAAGCAGAGTCCTTTATTCTCAAAAAATAAAAGAGGAGACAAAATACTTTTGGTTAAATGGAGGTGGTCCTCCATCAGCTTCCTCCTTACAGTCATGGAACAGATGCTTCTAATTCTTGCTGTCATAGGAGGCCCTGTTGTATTGAGACACTGTGAAGGAGAGAAGGGGGCAAGGATTTAATTGTGATGGAAGAGGAATCTTCCCTTGAACAGTTACCCCCTGCAACAAGAGGGATATAGAAGTCAGTGGTCCCCAGAGAGGTCTGCACTCTGCTTACAGAGAGCAGAATGCGGGGTTGGTATGTATGCAGTTTGTTTAAAGGCCAATCCATTTATTGCACTTCATATCTTGCAATATTAATTTGAGTTTAGACATCTGAGTTTGAAGAAAAATTTCCAGAAGAACACTTTTTTTGAAGGGTGGGGGGAATTCCAAACACTTAAGGAGGAATTACATTCAGCATCCTAAAAACATACAAAGTGCAAACTTTGTGCTACCCTAGTCCACCATGGCTTTAATTTATTGTGATTGACATGTCATATTTCACTTGGTATGTCACCTTATCCTTTTGTATCCTTCTGCTTTTCTTCTGCAAACGTATTGTTTCCACAGAGATTCTGGGTGGCTGGGTGGCCTGCTGGTGTTTTCATGAGGACATTACTAAGGCTTTTTATATACTTATGCCATGATTTACATGGTGGGAATACTCAGCTATGGCTATTATCACTTCACACCAGATTGAGCATAAACACTGGGACCAAGTCATGACTGAAAGAGGAAAAAACCCAAAGTTATTGAAAAGTGAAGTGTCTTATTTTATCACATTTACTGACACTAGGCAAAGGGCAAAGACTGCAAAACAGAGGGATGAAAGTGGAGAACAAAACAAAGATTAGCCCTGTGGTTTTAGGAAAGTACAGTGTCCTTCAGAAAAGTGTGGGTCCAACCTCAGGTGTAAATGGAAGTGACCCTCAGTGGAAATACGCCAGTCTGCACTTGCTGGGACCTAGGTTCATCCATATCTGGGTATCAAATTTATTTTAAAAGCTGGATATGTACCAGCTGTTGTGCCATAGTAAAACAGGCCAATTCCTGTCATCTTTTGGAAAACATTGTAAAAACAGGCATTTGACCATCTGATTAGCACAAAAACCAGTAGGGAAAATCAGCTGTTAAGATTTTGCACTCAAACACATTGCATAAGCCTGCAAAAGCTCTGCAGGCAACAGCAGACCCACTGTGATAATCTGACAACAGAACCTGGACCCTCCACATTGTGATGCAAAGCTCATTTGCGGCACCAAGTTTACGTTGTAGGCAAGTTGGTTTGAAGTTAAATTAGGATGCCTTCAGGGAGGCGTAATAATACAAAGTGGAAATAGAATGGGGGGAAAAAAAAGCGCCGCCATATGCTGAGAAATGCTTGTATCTGCCAACAATTTTTTTTTTCCTTTTTTTTTTTTTCTTTTTCAAAGGCAAAAGCGGTTATGGCGAAAGTGGGTTACCCTCAGTTTATAATGAATGACACATACATTAATGAAGACATCAAAACAGTAAGTGTCAGACTTGCAGCTTTCTTCTTTTGCATATTGCAGCCATTCTCTGCTCTGTTTCACTGCTGTCTAAAATCAAAGCTCCTCTCCTGTTGTATCTAGAGTTCTGCTTGCCTGGTTATTTTTAGGTGTTGAATTAAGTATGCTAACTCTCATGTCTAAATTTTCAATGTCGGTGTGTCTAGGCGAGATGACCACGAGGCTTGCTGGGAGTAAAATGTGCCTGGGTGCAAAGAACCTTCCTGCAATTAAGCATTTGAAAGGTTAAACACACACTGTCATAAATTTTGCATTTAGTTATAAAAATGAAACAAAACTAAAGCATTTCTCCTCAAAGTAATGGTCTTCAAAAATCCTAATGCATTTTTCCTCAGAATATCACAATTTATGAAGCCTTATATAGGCTCTCCTCATCTCCCCAGGCTATGAATTTTATTTATGATTTTTGCTTGTAGTCATGCCTAGCCAATGTATGGGCCTACTGTGCTGGCTGCTGGGCAAGGATACTGTGAGGGAACTCCTTCCTGACCCAGTACCTGTTCAGCCTAACTAAGGCAGGAAGGCAGGCAATGTATTATAACATATTTCACCATTCTCTAGAGGGGTAACTGTGACATATATAATGAATTGTATTACTGAAAAACCACAGGCAAAGTAGACTCACAAATTCAATCCTGAACCACTAAAATACAAGAGTGATAGTCATCTGTGCCAGAGAACATGAACAAACACTAAACAGAGGCATAATTTATGGAGAAAACTTTGAAGAACCAACTGTACCAGCCTAGTCATTGTTCCTGGAAAGAGTAGGGTGAGATGGTGCTGTGAAGGCGGTGTAATGAGATGGAGGATGTGACCAACTTCATCACTCAGCATACAGAACTATTTGCCCAGATAAGTGGTAATGTCTAGCGAAAACCAGCTGTTAATTATGGCTGCAAAACCATAATTTACATCTGAAATGCGACTTCCTCATGAGTCCTAGGATTGCTTGAAACTGGTGACAGGGATATCATCTGGAGTTATAAATTATTAACATCCCTTTTTCTTGCCTGGTTAGTTGTGTCTGCATGCGGGGGCTGCTATTAGATTTGGAGGCTTATGGAAGCATGGAGCCCTGTGTCTGTAAACATTAAATTGAGAAACAGTAAGAAAGCAGTGGCAGAATGCTCGTAAGGCACAGAGCATGAAGTAGTTGTAATAAAATGCAAAACAAACTGAAAAAGGGGGCTTTGTTTCATTTTTGAAAGTGGTTTTAAAATGAACTTTCAAAAATAAAATTAGACGTATTTCTTTCTGGAAAAGAGGCTGTCAATAATAGCCATAGAAACGTGCAGTCTGCACTTCATCACAAGCACTTCTGGTTTCCTCAGGTCCTCTCTGCACAGGGAAAAACTCTCATCCATTCAGCCACTTTTTTTTTTAACTAAGCTCACAAAATATTTTTTCTTCCTACCAAGTGTGAAAATTTTACTTGCTTTGATAATGGCTAAAAAATTAGGTGATTATATTGTTTAAAATAAAAGTTCTGATTGTTTTGTGTCAGCTTTTGTCTTGTTGGACACGCTTTAAAAATGTCTGTGCTTTATCTATACAGCTGAAGTTTACAGAAAATGACTATTTTGGCAATGTGTTGCAAACTCGCAAATACGCAGCCCAATCTGATTTCTACTGGCTTAGAAAAGAAGTTCCAAAAACAGAGTGAGTAGACAAAAGGCAAATTTACATAATCTTCTAACAATATTTTAATTTATAGTAGCTCATTTATACAATTTATGTTTTAATAGAATTATATACACGGCTACATATTATGATATAAAAGCCTACGGGCAAACCCCCAGTTATCCAGAAACTCTCACGGACTTTTTTTTTTGTTAGTTCTGGGTATCCCTGTTCTGATGCACAGTAGTCATATGCTTGCAGCTTAAACTTAATTTAATGAAAAAAGGGGTAATTGAATCTGAATTAAAAATGGATTATGTCTCTTGATCACAGTTAGAATTTTGAATGGTACAGCAGGGATTTATGAAATAAATTTTCTAAGAATGGAACCATTAGTTAGAGATAAGGTTATTATTAGTAACAGCAATCAGCATTGTTAGTTACCTGCTGTTGATAGCAATGATGGAATAAAACATAATTTAACTTCCATATGTTATTTTTATTTATTTGTAAACATGAAAGTGCAGATTGGGTCACATAGTATCATAAAATATGTGAGAGAATCAGTCTCTCTTCTTACTGGTGGGTAATCAAATCCTTAAAATGCAAATTAAAAGCTAAGCAGAACTTAATTAGTCTAATCATGCTACTTAAAAAGGACTCCTTCTACATACAGACTTTGAAATCGGTGCTGCTGCTTAGCTCCTGTGGTGGTCTTTTCTTAGGGCTCCAGAAATTCCTACTCGAACTGAACTATACCATGTTTCAGGGGTGGTTCTGTCTTGTCCTTGAGGCAGGTAAAGGATGTCAGCAGGACAGGCACAGGCTATTCCTGGGTAGGGTTTTGTAATCTGGCCCCATATTTTCAAGGGCTTGTTTATAGCTTAATTTCAGTTGTGAATTTTACCTTCTCGTCACACCTTTCTCTGATGTTGCAATGGTTGTTCTCAGGGGATGATTTTTATGGGCTTCCCTGCAGCCCTGGATGTCAGGATTATGTCACAACAGTATATTCTCTTCAGACCAACGGTTTCCATGAAATCAGTGAAATAACACTTGCCTCTATAGCAGTAGTGATCAGCAATCTCCTCCTCATGAACAGCACTAATGGAGACCACATAGATTCTTGGGACAATGGGAAATCTTCCCTGTAAGGAAATTAAATGGCAAGTAATCCCTGACTGTACACCTCAAGGGCTGTAATCTGAGAACCATCCCATGGGTAATCTTAAAAAATGAAGGTCTTGCCTGATTGCCCACTACAAGGTTGAACACTTTCTCATGTTTGTCTTTATGATCTTATTTCAAGGACTACTTAACAGCAGCCCCCTCACCACCTTTGTATTCCTTTTCTTGTCATCCCATGAGGCACATTCTGGCCTGGAGAATCCAAGTTTGATTTTTGGTCTCTCGTTTGTCAGCATAGCTATATGCTCTGCCTTCTGTGGGGCTGGG